TTGCAGAAAATATTGGGTCAGATGCTCTGGAGCAGCTGGTGAAACATGTTTGCCTCATGGTAGGCTCGCGAACTCGGGATGTTGTCAAATCAGCTCTGGGATTCCTTAAGGTGACAGTGCTGCTCTTGGACACAACATTGCTGGGTCGGCACTTGGAGACTATGGTGAGAATGGGAAAGCATACTGAGCGATCAGTACTTTAGGAATGAAGATAGCCCTAGTTTACATAATTAAAAAAGAGGAATATGGAAATATATTTGAATCCTCAGAACCTGTCCTGCCATAAGTTACTCTTAAGTTTCTTATCTGTTGAAGTCCATTAGTTCATCTTTTGTCCAGCTCTTTGTGGTATTCTTTCCTTCCTATTGCAATTGGGAAGTAGCGAGGTACCAGTCCAAGGTGTTGGGGCAGATTGACAGGAATGGCTTATGGGGAAGTGAGGTGTAGAGAGTGGCCAAATTTTAAAACTTTGTGTTTTTCTACAGTTAGAAGCCATTGGAGGATTGACAGATGACATGAGGCGCCACTTCCGTATGAAGCTGCGAAATCTCCTTTCCAAATTGATCCGGAAATTTGGGTTAGTGCTGAATTTAAAGAAGGAAAGGGCTAATATTGTGATTAGAGAGAGAAAACAAATCCACCTCATTACATTCTAGAAATATCTTGATTGGCTATCTTGCTTTCTTGATTGGCTGGACTTGAGACAGCCCATTTTAGATACAGGAGTATGTGCATGTAAACAAATGCACATACAAAAATAGAAGTTTGCAGGGGAAAACAAGGCACTGAGGTTTGCAGTTATTTCATGGGGATCTGCTCATTTCTGTCTAGCATTCTTCCTCCTTCTCCTGAAAGTACTTTTTAGTTTAATCCCAGATAAGATAATAACTCTCTTTGGTCCTTTCCATTCTCATCACTACATGCAGAGAGACAGGAAATGTTCAGAGGATGCTTTCCCACAAGTTTCTTTTTCTTTTTGCTCGTGAATTCCCTGATAAAATCTTACCCTGTGAGGCTGTATTTTTTCCTAGTTGTAGTCACCATTTTTCCATAGTATTAATGAAGGGAGCTAACAGATTATTTGAAAGGGGACCATCCCTGTGAACAAAGGCTCTTTCTCCCTACTTTCTCTCTTTACCTTAATTTTCAGTTATGCCCATGGGTAACTTGATACTGGTAATATACTTCACTGCTAGGAATTTTTTTTACCGATAATGCACAGAAATAGGAATCATCAGGACAAAAAAAATTAAAATATTTAAAATTAACTTTATATTGTTGTTGTTGTTGTTATTATTATTATTATTATTATTATTATTTGCTGAGAATAACACTTATAGTAGATGACCAGGCTGAGCTCGAGGGAGGGGTCAAACGTGTCATACGTCATGAGTCCCTACGTGCCAGCAAGAGATCCAAGTCCAGCCCATCTTGAATGCCTTCTTAATTTCCACTCATTTCCTTTGACTGTTAGTAGCTCAGATTTTTGTAGAGAGCTTAAGCTTCCAATAAATCTTTATACTCATTTGCACTGCCTGAATGAACTTTTATGAATAAATTCTTCGGTAAACATTTCCTAATGATGATTTATAAATCAAGCGAAAAGATAAGGTATTGTAAAATTTGATTATGCACATTCTTAGAATTTATGCCAGATGTGTTTACAAAAATCTAGTCCATGTGATTAATTTATTGCTTGTTTTATAACCCAGTTATGATATTCAGACAAATAGAACCACAAGTGTTCTTTCATCTCAGTCACTTTGTCTCCCTTCATGTTCAGAGAGTTAAGAAAAGAGTAGCAACCATGTTTGTGGAAAACTTGCTTTTAATTGGTATTTTTAAACTGTTTTTGTAGAAATCAGTTTACTTTCAATCTCTTTTTGACCTGTATTTGCACTGTTGAAAGATTATTGAATTTGGCTGAAAATTTAACAGTTCTTACAAGCTTAATGAAACTCTGCAAGTTTGGATATTTGACTAAATTCCATGATTGGGGAAAAAGTTTATGAAAGAAATTGATTTCCATGATTTTGGATTATTATTTTCACTTCCTAGGTTTGAACCCTTGCAGGCTCTGCTTCCTGAATCCTATCGCAAAGTACTGCTTAATATCCGTAAGGCAGAATCAAGGAACCGCAAGCGACAAGCTGTGAAAAGGGCTGCAGCCACTTCTGCAGAAGAAGAAAGAACTTTAGCACCACCTAAGGGAGACAGGTATGAATGAGGTGCCTGCTCAGAATCTTGATCTCATAGTAGGAGGGAGATTAAGAATATCGTTAAGGCTGATTCCAAGTGCCTTGGAGTCTGAAATGATCTATGGACTCTCCATAAATGAACCTGTGTTGTTTCTGTGCCCTTGTCTGTAGCATTGAGGATATCTTGGCAGACTCAGATTCTGATCTAGAAGATGAGACAGAGAAACAAAAAGGAAGAGCAACCAGGAAAGTGCTAAGGCAACAAAATCAAGCTTGGCTTAAGGAGGGAGAAAGTGATGAGCCTCTCAACTTCTTGGATCCAAATGTGGCACACAGGGTTTTAGGTAAGATGAATTTTGAAGATGGTCTATTCTAAGTTCATAGTGTTTACTACTTCAGTTTGATGGGGAAGATGATAGATCAGTATGCTCAGAGTGGAAGGTCAGACATATTTTTTTCATAAGTCTTTTGTGCTGTTCTGTCATGTAGCTACCAGGCCAGGCACTGCCCAAACTGGAAAAGTTAAACATGATTTCAACTTATCAGCTGATGGTCGCTTAATCATATGCGAAGAGGAAGAACAACCTACAGGTATAAAATTCAGCAGTTGATTAAATGCACATCAAATAACTATCCAATGATCATTCCATAATTCTACTTTCTATTATCAATTGATTACAGAAACAACCAAAGCTATTTAAACAGAATGAGCTATACAAGAAAGCATTTTAGATTGATATATCTAGAATATCTTTAATGTGATATCTTGGAGCTTATGGGATATAGAACCCCTGCAGCTTCTCAATACAGAATTGAGATTATTTTTAATGCAGGCATTAAAAAGTACTGGAAAGTGTGCAGAGAAAAGCAACAAAGATGATAAAGGGCCTGAAGGCTAAATTGTATGACGAATGGTTGAGGCAGCAAAGTACAGGATGTCTACCCTGTCAAAGAGAAAGATTAGGGACACAAGATAGCTGCCTTCCAGTACTTGAGGGGCTGTTACAAAGAGGGGATTCAGTTATTTTCTAAGACACCAGAAGGCAAGACAAGAAGTAATTTGTGGAAGGTGGTTAAAAGAGAGATCCCACGTAGAAATAAGGAAAATATTTCTGACAGCGGAAGCAATTAATTAGTGGGTGCTTCTGGGTTGTGGGTGCTCCATCACTGGATGTTTTCAAAAATAGGCCAATCATTTGACTAGGATGATACAAGGCTTCTGCCTTGGAACAGGAGGTTGGGCTAGAAGACATCCAAGGTTGCTTCCAGCCCTCCTCCTACTCTTTCTCCTATCCATAAGTTTTATGAGAAGGATTTGGCTTAAAATAACTAGGGTACATATTTTGTGCTGCATCTGATCTCTGTTATGCTGTCTACCACAGGGCTGAATGAGGAGTCAGCAGATTTAATGCAGGAAGTTGGAATCAAGAATGTAAGTGAAGAAGGGGAGGAACAAGAATTGTTGGCATTCTCTTTAAATATTAAGAAGTCTTTATACCAATACTGTGTAATTTGTTTAAGAATTGAGGTTGAGTAGCATAATGGGGACCATCTGAACCAACTCAAAAGAATTAAATTTGATTCATTAAAATTAAATGACATTGAAATGATCATTGCAATCACATATTTTCCCTTATGTTACATTCCTTGTATAAGTTTGGCGACATCTTTGGTAGTTGTCAGGACTGAATACAACTGTGGGTTCGCAAGTGGTGTGTCTCTACTCTAACTTAGCGTTGTGATGGCTGTATTTGGGACATTGGGAGACAATTACATTTGACTTATCAGGATAGATTCCCTGTTGCCATTAAATAACGCAGGAAAGAAGAAGGCACAGAAATCTTTAAAGAAGATGGTTGATCTTACCAAGTGCTACTTTGATGCATGACATCTCTTTTGCAGAAGAAAGCTCGGAAACGTCGCTTTCGGGAAGAGGCAGATGATGAAGGCCTTCCTGCTGATTCACAGCCACAATACAAAGGTTAGGATCTTCCTTTGGAGCTGTTATAGAGTGAGCCACCACTGCATGGATTCTGATGTACTTTGACATGAGTGGGCGAGTGAAATAGTTACTTAGAAATAAGGCATTGATTAAAATCAGTTATGTGTTGTACATCTGTATGATAATCAGTTGAAAGAACCTCACTGTGGCCTCCCTCTGCTTCCATTCTAATCTTGATGCATTGAGCCAATCATGATAATGATATGAGTTATTATACATAATGTAGAAATTGTATTTGGAGACTCATGTTAAGTAAGCTGCGTTTCATGAAAGCATATGCCTTTTAATAAAACGTTAGTTAGAAAAGGTCACCTACCCTCTACATGAAAATTTACAGATAGAATTTGACATGACAACAATTGAGATGAACAGTGTGATTATTAAGCAAGTTATCACATGACCATACCCAGTTTTATGAGTATTTTTACCACAGTCATTAAGTAGATCACTGCAGTCATTAAGCAGATACAGCTTCCCCAATTGACCTAGGAAGGTCGCAAATCGTGGTCACTTGCCTGAAAGACATTGTAGCTATTGTAAACGTGAACAGATTGGCAAACACCCAAATTGTGGTCATGTGATTATAGGGTGGTGAAACAGTCATAACTTCAAGGATAGGTCATAAGTTGCTTTATCCAAGGCCATTGCAGCTTCCAACTTTTTTTTTTTTTTTTACAAATAGTCATAAGTATTATCTGTACCTTAAGTAAAAAGTACTGGTTATTTTCTAGGATATTGATTTTTAACCAATTTTTAAATGTATAGTTTTTATTTATTGTTTTAAGGTTTTATATCATGTTTTAATTATATGACTGTGAGCCACCTAGAGTCACCTCAATGAGAAGAATAGCATAGAAGTTTAATAATAAATAATTTCCAAGGAGTGAACAAGCTGCTTCTCCTTTTCAAGCCTGAAATTCTTTGTAAAAGTCATAAGCCAACTCATACTTGAGGGTCTAGTTATTCCCCTCCTGTTTGTTTACTCTTTATAGCGGGAGGCAAAGGAATTCATCGGCCTGTTAGCAAGAAGGCAGCACCTGGGGCAGAATACAAAGCAAAGGTAAGATCATAAGGTGATTGATTGGGTCCCAAATCTGACGTAGGTATAGGAAGTTACTTGCTTTCCTATTGTAGAATCATCTGTCATAATCTTGTCAATTGAAGCATGGGTTTATGATAACCTCACATGCTTTGTAACAGAAATGGAAAGTCTATATCTTTTTTGAGGGCATATTCTTTAGGCATAATTTAAAACAGGAGTAGGGAATTCCACCTTAAAAATTGAGGTCTGAGATGCTCATTTATTACTTTTCCTTCATATTCTTTCCCACCTTCTTCTCCATGTTGTTGAAGCAGCTTCCAGAGTTTTTTCTTCAACAATTCCTCAAAGCTGTCATATCTTTTTAGCAACCTTTACTAAGAGGAGGGTGGGGAAGAAAATAGGCACAAGCCCTATGAAGTGACAGTCCATACTTCTTGCACTCTTTTTAGGGAAGTTGAGAGGAGTAGATTACACAGAGAAAAGATCATTCCCTCCCTCCCTCCTCTATATCTATCTATATCTGTCTGTCTGTCTGTCTGTCTGTCTATCTATCTATCTATCTATCTATCTATCTATCTATCTATCTATCTATCTATCTATCTATCATCTATCCATCTATGTGTAAAAACAGGATTATATTGATAATCCATTATAACATTAAAGTTATATTCAAATCAAATTTAGTATCAAGATAGTTCTGAATAACTGACATATTAATAAATATCAAGTCTTTTGGAAAGCTAGTGGAGGAATGGATATGGGGACTTAGGGCTGCTACCATGTACTTTGCTAGATTGCCTATCACTGAGCATACATTTTATTGTTTCTTATAGAAAGGCAAAGGTGACATCAAGAAAAAGGGTGGGCTGGATCCTTATGCATACATCCCACTGAACCGAGCAAAACTAAACAGGAGGTAAGGATGGTAAAGAGTGAAAAAGGTTGCTAGAAACCCAGAAACCAGTGATAACCTCCAAGTACAGAAAATCCCAACTCAAAGAATATTGTTCACCATAATCCATATATTTTATCTCCAAATATATAAATTACTTTTTTACTCCGTTAAACATGTTATCTGGTCAAATGTAGGCAATATTGATTAGCCTCTGTACTGATTATCATCTATTCTCTCTGGTAGGAAAAAAGCCAAACTTCAAGGACAGTACACGAATTTGATGAAGGGGGCTCAGCGTGGTGCCCAAGCAGGCAAGAGACTCTTCAAAAAGCAGACCCATACCTGAAGGAGAAAAGGCCATGCAGAATTGATCTGGAAATCAGTTCTTTTAGGTCACTGGACTGTGGATCTGGTTGCTGCTATTCCACTCACTGAGTTATTTCTAAAAAAAATGGAATGTGGTCATTATTGCTGCATATTGGCAATACCTATTGTTTTCAGCAAAAAGAATAGTAAAAAATGCATACATCCTCCAATTTTTATTTATGGACCCTTGTAATAGGGGCTTTCTTACCAGTTATTCTAGTTTCTTTCACAGCTTATGAGCAGTGTGAGCAAATCTAGAACTTTGGGTTAGAGACTGATTATTGCTTCCTAATGAACACTTGAGCAATACATAATATAATAAATTATGTTTCTTTAGTATAATATAGGCACTGGTCTGTGAAACCTTTTTTCCTGTCTATTTTCTTTCAGTATTTGAAGCAACTTGCTATTTTTGTTTGGTAACTACTACAAATTCTCCAAGAAGTCTGGATTTATTTGGTAGTAGGTAAGAACAGAGGCAAAGTTAATTAAAAACAAAAGAATTATTTCCAAGGAGAACTTGAGAGTTGTGATCTTAGCTTCTGAATAAAATGTTGTCGCTTGGTACTTTTACTGCTACTATCAGACTAGACTAATTGGAAAACTCTGGTCATAGCCCCAGATCTGAGAATAAGTACTGTCATGTGGAAAGCTAACTTCTACAACCAAATGTGTGATTTAGGTTTTGCACACATTTTCTGATTTGCTCTATACAAGAATTTTAAAAAACCCTGCCTCCCAAACATGAAAACAGTGATCAGTGGCAATAATTTTGTTCTGTTCTATTGAAAAAAAAGGGAATGTCAAATTCCATCATTGATTTTCCATTTTCATTTAAAGGCAATGATGATGATTCTGAAGCTGTTCAACTGGCAGATTTAAACACTTTCCAGCTATTTCGCTGATCTGAGATGCCTTCTTGTAGACACGATACCTAGAATAAAAAAGATATAGACCACAGCATATCTTGGTTGCACTATTGCAAGAGACAAAAACCAGAGCCTAGAAATTCTCCCAACCAAAGACTGCTACATTGCTTCTGAGAAAAGCATACCTTGGATATAGGATAGCGCTTTCAATATATGCTGGGGCAATGTTTTACCACCTCCTAGTGGCTATGCTTCACAGCTGAGGTATCAAGGAGAGGAATTTAACCCTTTTACCCACAATTTTTTACTAAAATCTCTGGTTAGTTTCAGATATAGATACGTTCACATGTAGTTGTTAGCCACAGAGAAAGAGATAGGCATCTGGGTTGAGCCTGTATATTTTTCCTCTGTGTTGAACTACAGAGGAACAATGGTTCTGGATCAAAACTATAATACTGCGTAAAAAGGGCAGACTTAATGCCCTCTAGTTTGTGGGAACAATAAAGAGTTTAAAAAATACCTCCACACATAGGATTTCAGCTGTTGTTTGAAGGTGCTTGGAATTATTTGAACAGCTGCTTTTGATTCACTCTCTGCTTGCTATGGAAACCTTAGCTTCTTTGAAAGGATATTCTTTGATGGAGTACATCCCTTTGGTTAAAAGGCTTAATATAAAACTGAATAACAGCTTGCATGGCAGCTGTGCACTTGTTATTTTCAGATTGAGTTGGCGCTTATTTCACAGGGAGAAGGCCATTGAAAGGTAGAATAGCAAAGAAGTTGCCTGTTATCAGAGAAAATAAAGTAACAAGGACATAATGACTGGAAATTATTTTTTTATTCCTCTAATTCCTTGATACTAAGATCTATATATACAGAAGAAATGTCTTTCTACTGAGATCACAAAACATTGAAAATATTTTTAAGAGGTGGAACTAATTTAAAAAATGATAAAAATACAATATTTTGACAATCAGGAATTACAGATTTTTGGAGTGATACAGAATGAGTAATGGATTGCTGATGAGTATCACTGATGGTATTGATGCCACCATCCAAACAAGAATAGGAATGGAACTCTGCAGACCATCCACATCTTCTAAAATTTGCACTTGCCTCTTTAGACTTTTGACTAAATAATTATCCCCATTTACGGAACAAAGAAACTTCACAAAAGTTGATGAAACATTAAGGGCTGACTGAAATATAGAGTGTCTTGCTGTTCTGGGAAGTTACCATAATAAAGTGTTCAGTTCATGAAAATGCTATGTAGATTATCTTCTTTAGATCTTCCTCAATTGTTTTCAAGGAAACAAAAGTTAGAATGCATATATTTTGTAATTTTGAATTATCAGAAGTTTTGGGCCGCAGCACTTTGCTTCCCCCCATTAGAGTAAAATCTGCACGTTTATCCATCTGCTTGTGTTTTTCTTAATTAAGCTTGGAAGCAATCAGGCTTTTTATTTTGTTAATTGAATCTGACTCTACTCCAAACAGAAGTTTGTTTCCAATTTTGTTTAAAGCAAAAACTTGCTGGAATAGAGCCTAGAAGTTTCCATTTCCCTATAGAGGAAATTATTTGATAAATGTGAATCCTGCATATGAATAAAAATCTGTAATTAAAACTTGTAAGCATTCTCTATTCCGTCCCTCCTTAAGATATTTACTAGACCTCCTTATTTGCTTATAAAAACTAGACACTCCAAACTCGTACCATTCCTGTTCCTATCTGGACTTCTAAGCCATTTCTTTCCACTGTGACTAATTTTAGGGAAGTTTACAAGAAAGTTCAGAAGTAATAGGGTGGCTAAGGAAGGGACCATTCTTTTCAGCTGATTTTTAAACTATGTTCTGTGAGGCTTTGCGAACTTTCTACTATCTGACCCTTTCTAATAAGATTTTGGTAAATGTACTGTACATTTCTCTTTCTCATCTTTCCAAAGAAATGTCTCTGCAGGGCATCTAGTTTAATAAGTGGCACTTAACATATATTCTTTTGTGTATGTATTTCAGTTGCTTGGGGGAAAAATGGGTAATTAGTAACCTCCACATATTGCTACTACAACTCTTAGGATTCCTCACTATTAGTCATACTTGTTAAGCTTGGTAGGCATTGTAATGCCACAGTTGAATAAATGAACACATAGCAGACCACAGGTTCTCCATTCTGTTTTGGAAATACATTTAATGTAGAAAGAGTTCTGTAGATAGAAGTCACCTTAATTTGCTGACAGGTATGTTAAAATACCCAGGTTCAAGTTTCTTTTAGTTACTGAACAATACTCCAGTTCATGCTTGCAATAGACAGCAGAACTCTCTGGACAGCCCCCTCCTACTTTACATTTTCCAATGTAGTTAGAGCCATACTGTTCCACCGTGTGTTTAGCTCAAACTGTTTGTTGTGGATGTTCCTCATGTACAGTAATGTAATCAGTGGTGGGATTCAGCCAGTTTGCACCAGTTCGGAAGAACTAACTTTCTGAGCAGTTTGATGAACTGGTTGTTGGAAGAAATCATTAGGGCAGAGAACTGGTTGTTAAATTATTTGAATCCCACCGTTGAATATCAATCATGTTTTGATTTTGGTACAATTATTCATATTTTGCTTTGTAATTCACAATCCAGAGTCTTAAGTGACCAGGGTGGCCTGCAATTATTTGCATAAACAAATAAAATCAAAACATTCAAAGAAACTAACATAACCCTTACTAAGTGCATATGGACCATTCTATTAAAATTAATCCAGTCCACTGTTTGGGGCAATTTTCTGTCTTTCTTTAGATTGTTGAGGGAAGGACATTAAAAGCTCTACAATATTACACTATATTATAAGGCAGT